TAGTTTGCTTGGTTCCACAATCAACACTCTTGGTACCAGCAGCCAGTAAATCAAGAGATGAATTGCATTGGAAAAGTCTGATGTCAGAGACCTCTCTAAAGTACTGAAGAGCAACAATGTCATTCTGGAGACTAAGCTGAACCTGATCCAGGCCATAGTCTTTGAAATTACTTGCAATACATCAGAAAGCTGGACAATGACTAGGGATGATAGAAGGAGAATTGCCTTTGATCTGTGGTATTGGAGAAGAGTATTGAATATACCATAGACTGCTAGGAGAACAAACAGGTCGTCTTAGAGAGGGTAAAAGCAGGCTGCTCCTTGGAGACAAGGATTCTGAAGCTTCATCTGCCATACTTTGGAAATGTTGCAAGGTGGGTCCATTCCTTACAGAGGGACATCATGCTTGGGAGGGTAGAGGGACAGCACAAGAGAGAAAGACCCTCGGTGAGACAGATTGATTCAGGGATTGGGGTAATGGGGGTAGGTGTGTCAGAGACAATAAGATTGGCACAGTATAGAGCAGGGTTTAGGGCTGTTGTACACAGGGTTGCTATGAGTCGCAGGTGACATGACGGAACATAACAACAACAATAAGTAATAAAACTAAAATACTAAATAAACAGTTAAATTCTTCTAAATTGGCCACTTTACAATGACTCAAAAATGTCATTTTCAAAGCTATTTAGTGTCTCATTTAGCACATATAAGCGTTCTTTCTTTCAAGGGGAAATGTTTCAATTACACTATACAAACACTAAGTTATATAGCACAGATCAGCATTCTTTCTTTCAATCGATAGCTCATACATGGGGAAATGTTTCAATTACACTATGCAAACACTAAGTTATATTCTCAAAGTCAACTGCAATATTTTTCTCTTTTATATTCATTCCTCAGAGGACAGTTATTTATGCAGTGTTGCCTGACTAATTGAAGATTATAACTTGATACATGAGCTACAATGACTCTGAAGTCTAAACTGATCCTTATTATAGGTACCATCTGGAAATAACAGTTGTTGGAGTTTGTTCTGTATTGGTTTCTTCTTCTTCTTTCTCTCTTACTATTTTCCAGTAAGACCCCTAAATAAGGAGATGTGACAAACTTTCAAACATCAGTCATCAGTTTTCATCACAGATTGGATTCTCATAGCATTTCCAAAAATGTCTAAAATACTTATTATGCTCTTTATGCGAAAGAGGGGCAAGTCAGAAATATCACTTCTACTTTATTAAAATAATATGGGGACATAGGTTTAGTGATTTTCCATCTTTAAAATAAATATTTTAGTGCCTACTTCCAGTCAAAATCATGTTTCTATTAATCTCGAAGAAGGTGCTTTGACAAATAGGATTCTCAAGAAGTACTTTAAAGAGATAACACAAAAAAGTTTATAATCTAGAACAAAGAGTCACTTTCTTTTAACTTGGGACTACTTCACACACTCAAAAATCACTGAAGATTTCAAAGAGCTTCTCTTATGTTGATTATATCCATTAGTGCTTCCTATATTAAAAAATAAGTCTGAGAAAAGGATAAATATTTATTTTAAAATAATAATTACATTTTAAAATAAATAGTATTTTTAATGAAAAACAACTATAATCTTAAAAAAAATCACTAAATGGCATTAACTAACATCTGGTTTTGGAAAAGACAGGTGGATTTTCTTACCTGCATTTGGATTACATCTGTTACTATATCAAACTCAGGTATACTCTAGAATGAACTCCACTATACATTCATATCAGAAAAAGACTGAGTGTCTGAGTACTATTATTAAGAGTTTTGACTTTCTAAATACTATAAAAATACCTCAGAAATCTTAATGCACACTTTGAGAATCACTGGACAGAAAGACAGTCATAAATATGTGTAATTTTATACATGATATTCCATGGTTTCCTTACCTCAAGCTTTAATTTCCACTGTTTGTTCCCCTCTACTCTCTCGATCAGTGGCTCCCAGGCAGCGTGCGTCTCATTATAGTAGTGAACCTGGAAAGCCACACAAACAGAAGAATATTCCAGTTTTCAGTACAATGTATTTCTATAAGTAGTTTGTGGGGGGGGGGAATCCTAAGTAATTTAAAACAAAATAAATAAGTATGCAAACAGTCATTTTCAACTTTCACTTGAAGACATAAAATATACCTACAGATTTTATTTCTTTTGCTCTTTTACTTTATAAACATAAAAAAATCAATAATCAAAAGACTCTTTTAAAAATAATTACTAAATTACTTCTATTCATCAACACAGTGGAGGATTTTGTCTGTTCACATACATACAGACCTGCTATGATCATTAACAAGGGAAGAAAGGTCATTTTCTTAGTTGGCTCTGAAGGTACTAAATGGCACGTCCATACCTCTAGTGTCATGTCAGCAGTAGCAGCCATTAAGGAAGTCCAATTTTTAATAATTCCTGAAAACTTGGACTCTGCCAACAATAAAGGGACAGTTCGATGGCCCAGGCCACATTCCAAGGTAACCTGAACTGACTCCACAAGCACAGCACAGTTTTCCTCTATCAACAGATGATTCATGTCTTTGAAAGTTTCCGTTATTTCTGCTGCTGTTTCAACGCCCAGAAACCAGGAGTTATAATCATTTAGAGACTTGACACCCCAAAGATTTTCCAATTCCTTAGATGTATCTTTGGATTCATCTTCTTTGGACTTTGGAGACATAGCTGCCATGATTGTCATCACGGTATTAAGAATTATAGGTGAAATCTTAAAAAAAAAAGAAAAAATATTTTAGAATAAGTTCTGCCCAGATAAGAATTAATACATGAATATTCAAAAGTAAACATTTAGAAGTTTTCTTCTTTTTCATAGTCTCATTGCTGTTGAGTTGGAGTTGACTTAACAGTAGTTGGCCATCCAGTAAATTTTCCAAGGCTATAAACTGCATGGAAGAGAATGCCTGACTTTCTCCACTGCAGCTGCTGGTGTACCTGAATCTGGAGGTTAGCAGCACAACTCTCTACAGACTATGTCACCAGAACTGCCTATTTTAAGTGTCCACAATTCACTGTCATCAAGAAGCATTGGAACAATCTCATAGCTGACCCTTCAGCTGGTTTTCTGAGACTGAATCTCACAGGAGCTGAATGCCCATTCTTCTCCCTAAGAGAAACTGGTAGATGTGAATGACCTGTCTTTGAGTTGGCAGCACAACTCCTCACTGGAAGAGGCCAACAAACCTCTGCATTAAGTTTAACAATGTTAAATTCCTGATTAAGGAAAGTAGAGAAAACACATGAAATCAAGTGTAAAGTCAACTAAATATCAATATATTACTGATTTCCTCCCAGGTAACTCTGGAATTAAGTAACTCTTAGTATATATCAATATCCCATAACAAAACAAAAAAAGTGACTGTGCTGAATTCAGACCTCAAATGGCCTTGAATTACAGACTAGGACTTTCCAACGGGGTTTTTAAGGCTTTTAAGTCTTTGTAGAAGCAGACTTACATCTTTTACACAGTGACTGGTAAATTCAAAACTTTTGAGTTGAAGTCACCTTTCAGTTATTGCTTAACATGTTGCCACACACTTTTAAATTGACAATCGTGCTTAGAAACACATTTTTTCACTATAGCCATCATTTGTGGCAACCTGTTAATAACCAATGCCCACGATTCAGGGCAAAAGTGTTATATAAATGAAAAAAAAAAAAGAGATGTGGTTGATTTTTAAATTTATCACTAACTGCATTAACTGAACTAAAGTATGTAATGCTCACCAAGTTAAACATAGATGGCTTTGATTTTTCTTATTTTAAACATAATTCACATTTTATAAAGGTTTCATGAGAAAAAACTCGCAACACTTCCGTTGGGAAGTCCAGGAAGCACCACTGATTTCCCCTCACTGATAGATTCCATGATCTGCAATTTCTATTTCCTAGTACCTCTGACAGCTGCTGGTTTTCCCTACACCTGCTACTTTGCTTTAATTCTACGCTGACAATATTTTTCACGTCTCACCAGGAACCCCTAGGCCAACACTCCACACTGTCATAAGCGTATATTTTCTAAAAGTCTTTAGCAACTTATTATAACTATCATAATTCATTCAAATGCTCTTAGCTTAATATTACACCCAAGTGAAATCTTGCTTAAGATTATCAAACACAGCTAGAGAAGGACATTGACAGGGAACTACAGAAATTCAAGCCGGATTCAGAATAGACCATAGAACAAGGGATACCACTGCTGATGTCAGCTGACTGGCTGAAAGTAGAGACTAAAAGAAAGATGTTTCCTTGTGTTTTATGTATTATATAAAGGCATATATGACTGTGTGAATAATAATAAATTATGGATAACATTCAGAAAAAATAGGAATTTCAGAACACTTTATTGTGCTCATGCAGAACCTGTGTATGAAGCAAGCAGCAGTCATTCCAACCTAAGAAGGAGATACTGAAGGGTTAATACCAGGAGAAAAAGAAGTTAGCTTTTCTTGTGTGATTTAAAGTCTCAGAATCCAGTAGAGGGTCAGCTATGAGTCAGTTTCAACTTGACAGCAGTGAGTTTGAGTTTGGAATTGTATCTGTGATACCTTATGCATGCCTCTGGCAGCAAATGTCAGTAACTGATCATTTTTTTTCCTTCCACATACTTAAGTTTTTGAAAACAAGAACTATGTCTTTTCCCAATGTGTTAGCTAGAACATTTTTTTAATATAAAGAGTTCAATAAATGTTCGCTTAACAAATAAATATATTTATGTCCAAATAATTAGTAGGATAATTCTTAGAACCTAAGCCTGAGAGAAAGCGTATGCAAATTCAAGGAGTTCTTTGCCACTCTCATAAACTACTTTTGTAATTGTTGTTATGTGCCATTGAGTTGATTACAACTGCATAGCTATACATGATAGCCATGAACCCTGACTTATCTTGAGCCAATCTCACTGACTCCAGCACACTTACCCTATTACCCTAGTTATTGTGTCAACACATCTCATTCAGAGTCTCCTTCTTCTGTACTGATCTTCCAGCACACCGAGCATGATGACCTTTTCCATGGACTGGTCCCTTCTGGCAACAAGCCCAAAGTATGTGAGATGGAACTTGAAAATTCTTGTCTCCAAAGAGAAACTTGGTTTCATCATCTCCACAACAGACCTGTTTGTTCTCTTGGCAGTTCATGGCACGTTCAATGCTCTTCTCCAGCATTTTCTAACACAAAGGCATCAATTCTTCTGTCATTCTTAGTAATTTTCCAGCTCTCTGATGAATAGCAAGTAATTGCAAAGACCATGGCCTAGATCAGGCACCCCTTAGTCTCTAGACTGATATCATTGCCCTTTAGCACACTGGCGAGATCCTTGACAGCCGATTTTCCCAATGCAATTTGTCTTTTGATTTCCTGACTATTGGTGCCAAGAGTGTTGTTTGGGAGCCAAGCAAGCTGAAATTGTTAACAATCTCAATCTCCTCTACTTCTATCATGGCACTCTCAATTGGCCCAGTGGTGAGAACCTTTGTTTCTTGATGTTGAGCTTCAATCCATAAAAAACAAAACAAAACTACAGTCCTTGGCCTTTCTCAGCAAAGCTTTGGGTCTCCTTCAGTTTCAGAGAGAATGGCTATATCATCAACATAACACAGGTTGTTGATGAGTCTTCCTCCAATTTCAATGCCTCATTCCTCCTCATAAAGTTCAGCCTCCAAGAAGATCTGTTCTGCATATAGATTGAAAAGGTATGGAGACAGGATGCATCCCTGATGTACTCCTTTCCGGATTTTGAACTACGCAGTGTTTCTTTGCTCTGTTCTGATGACTGCTTACTGATCCAAGTGTAAGTTTCATATGAGCACAGTCAGGTGTGCTGGGATTACAATTCTTCTCAATGTTAGCCACAATTTGTTGTGATACACACAGTGAAATACCTTTGCATAGTAAATGAACACAGACATTCCACTTGTACTCTTGTTTTCAGCCAAGGTCCATACTACTTTAAGGTCTTTAAAATAAGTAAATCTGGAAATTTATTTCTAGAATACATCTGTTTTTATGACAAGTATTTTATAAGACAAATATATATTTCATCACATCATTAAATTAAAATTATGCTTCAAATAAAAGCCTAAAATAACTTACTATCAATAAACCAAAAGCCATCCTATTTCTCCATTATTTATTTCCTTCTCTTCCTAACCCAACTACACTCTTCCTTCAACCCATCCTTCCACATGAACACACAAATGACAGAAGAAAAATTATCCTGACATCTAAAAAATATTAAGGAATATATAATATTTACAAATAGAAATAAACATTTTCAATAAAGAAAAATATCTATATTAGAGGTATATCTCACTAGCATAGTACCCAGGTTATTAAAGTCACATTAAAAACTATAACTCCAAATATATAACTTTGCTAGAAAAAAATTTCTTTTCACCCAAAGAAGATAACAGACACTCACCTTAATTATACATTCTTTAACTGTGATATTTATATTTTGTTTCCCTGAGGCCCAGGCACATTTTTCCATAAATAAAGAGCAGGGCTGCAAGACCTAGAAACAAATATATTAAGTTCTTATTTTCATAGAAGGTCCATTATTTATGTAACATAGACAAACCATTCTTTACCAGAAAGTCTTTAATGACAACTTACTAAGAAAAGCAAAAAATAAAATAATTAACTGGAATTCTCTTTAAAGGACTTTTCTCAACCATGTTAAATCTGTCAATGTTGTTAAAGAACATAATCATTGCTGATAAGTTTCCTTAAGTCAAACCTTTAAGTAATAATGTATATTAGGTATGAGCAGTTTAAAATGTTTCCTTTTGATAATATATTTTTAAATGTCCTTCTATAAAGTCTATTTTTAGAAATCTAAAAAAATGAACCAAAGACCATATCAAAATAGATAAATGAAGTTTCTAGAGGAGTATGAGGCCAGTCTTGATATGATTATAAGGTCCTTTAGTATAAATTTCCAATTTCCAAACTCAATGATTTATCAAAACTATGAAGGAAGTATTCTTATATATTATCAAAGACATGAATAAAACACCTTTGCACCTAAAATGAATACTGATCACTACAGTTTAATTTTCACATAAAATAGGTTAGATACGTTATTAATTGGTTAATTAATTACTGAGTTTTTAATGAATGTGTATGGTATGATAAAAGATGACACTGCCAAAGTGTCAAAGTATTTCATGAAAAAAGTATAGACTATGCCTAACATTGCAGTTCTTTCTGCAAACTTTGTCCACAAATTTATTTTATTTAAAATAACATTGCAAATCAGTAATAACTTAATACGATCCATTTTTCACTAAAATCATCAATTTAGTATTTTAATAAATGTGTATATGTTAAATGCGCTGAATATAAAAACCATATTTTTCATTAATAACATGAAAGCACAATTGACACTAACTTATAATAATAGCAAAACATAAACTCTTTGGTCAAGTGAATCTAATTTGACCTTTTTACTCTAAGCTTAAAATGTTAATGTGCATTTCTTCATTCACTCAATAATATGCAGTATATAGTTTGATAAAAAAAGAAAATTACTAAAAAAGACTATTGGTTAGTACCAAAACTTCAAGCACTACTCAACATAAAAATATTAGTTTGAAAGGAAAGCTAGTCTGGAGGCAATCATCAGCTCAATAGTTAATAGCTGCCATTAAATCATTTAATATTCTAGAACTCAGTATCCACATTTATAAGCTCTCAGACTGGTAGGAAATCATCTCTAGGCTCTGCAGCTCTCTAACATTGTAGGATTATACAAATCAACCATTTCTGCCTTTCTTCAAGCTGAAGATAAAAGGGAATTCTTACCGTGGTAACGTTCTTCCCTCTCTTTTCTCTAAGAAAAGGACAAGCAAGCACTTTAAGGTCTCTCACAGAAGCCTCCATCATCTGTTCAAGTTTGGATGTTGACAAAGAGAAGTTACACTGGAACGAGGCTGCCAGAGCAGGAGCGTCTGCTTTTGTCAGGTTGGCAACAAACACCACTTCAGGATCTATAATCATGGCCTTTAAAGTCATGTTTGGTTTTACAGAGTCATCTGAAGAAATGAAAATAGGAAGTAAGGGAGCTTGAAAGTAAATCCTGTTACTTACTCCTGTTATCTTCAAATTGGTAGGTTTTTGCTAATATTCTACTATTACAGATGTTGGGAGAACAATATTAACAACTGCTTGATTAATATTAAAAGGTAAATGATTAATAACAAACACTGAATATATACAGAAGTAGAATCTTATCCTTATCTACAAGAAAATCATTCCCATTTAGACCTAGCAAGTATAAACTTATTCTGTAGTTCTTCTGTCACCTGAATTAAAGTATATGCACAACACATATAGGTGTGCATTCTGTGATGCTGAAAAGTAAAGGAAAGGAAACTTGGGGAAGGGACTATATCAAGAATAAGATAAGATCCTGGCAAAATCATTATTACTTAATTATTCTGATGTCACCATAAAGTTCATAGTCACTGCCATACATAATCAGTATAAATAATCAAATGTATTCATGAAAACATATGAGCAAGAGCCTATGATGATGAAGGAAGAAGTTCAAGCTGCTTTGAAGGAATTTGCAAAAAATAAGGCCCCAGGAACTGACAGTATCCCAACTGACATATTTCAACTAATAGATGCTGCTCTAGATGTGCTCACCAAGTTGTGTCAAGAAATCTGGAGGACAACCACTTGGCCAACTGACTGGAAGAGATCTATATTTGCTCCTATCCCAAAGAAAGGTGACCCAACAGAGTGTGGAAATTACTGAACAATATCATTGATATCACATGTAACCAAGATTCTGCTGAAGATTATCCAAAAACAACCAGAACAGCACATCAACAGAGAACCGCCAGAAGTAGAAGGGGTCATCTGCAAAGGCATTTGACTGTGTGGATCACAACAAACTGTGGCTGACTCTGAGAAGAACAGGAATCCCAGAACACTTGATCGTGCTTGTGTGAAACCTAGACTTGGACCAGGAGGCAGTCGTCACAACTGAGAAAGGAAACACTACATGGTTCAAAATCAGGAAGGGTCTATGCCAAGGATGTGTCCTATCTCCATAACTTTTCAACCTATATGCAGAACATATTAACCAGAGGCTAGGCTGTATGAAGAGCAGTGTGGCATTAGGATTGATGGAAGAAGATTCAACAATAATCTGCATTATGCAGATGACACAACCCTGCTTGCTGAAAGTGAGTAGGACCTGAAGCACTTGCTACAGAGGGTCAAGAACTGCAGCCTTCAATATGGATTGAGGCTCAATACAAAGAAGACAAAGATTCTCACTACTGAGCCAAATGAATAGTGAGACTACCCAATATCCTTGTGCATAGATTAACATGCCCTATTTGCACATTCCTGTCAGTCCGCATGGCAAAGTTGGTCAATGGCTCAGGAATAATAAACCCTTACTATCAGAAGTGACTACTACTCTTAGGGATCCTATAAACCATGGATCTGAACCTTGCCCTAGCCTATGTGACCCTCATCATCTCTGAAATACTCAGACCCGTTGTTACAGTCATTGTGTCATTCCATCTTATCAAAGGTCTTCCTCTCTTTTACTGACTCTCCGCCTTTCCAAGCATAATGTCTTTTTTCTAAAGACTTGCCCCTCCTAACAACATGCCCAAAGTATGTGAGCCTAAGTTTTACTATCTTTGGCGCTAAGAAATACCCTGGTTGCACTTTCTCCAAGACATATTTGTTTACTCTTTTTACTGTGATATTCAGTACTTTTCTCCAATACCAAAAGTCAAAGGCATTGATTCTTCTTCTGTGATCCTTTATACATTGTCCAATTTTTCAGATGCACACAAGTAGGAGAAAAAACTATAATTTTAATCAGGTGCATCTTAGCCTTTAAAGTGACATCATTGAGTCTCTGTGCAAATGAGAGGGCCTTTACAATAGATTTCCCAATGCAACATGTCTTTTGATTTCTTGACTGCTGGTACCAAGTGTGTTGATGGTGATCCAAGTAAGACAAAATCATTGACAACTTCAAGCTTTTCTCCAATGATCATCATATCGTTTATCAGCAGTGAGGATTTTGTTTACTTGATGTTGAGATGCAATTCATTTGAAGGTTATAGTCTTTGATCTTCTGCAGCAAGCATTTCAAGTTCTTGCTTTCATCAAGCAAAGTTGTTATATCTGCATAATGTGAGTTCCTGATGAGTCTTTCTCCAACCCTGATGCCAAATTCTTTTTCCATATAATCCAGATCCTCAAATGATTTGTTCTACATACAGGCTGAATAGTTACAGAGAAAGAATACAGCCCTAGCACACACCTAACTTCACTTTAAATCATGCAGTGTTCCCTTGTTCTGTTCAAATAACAGCTTCTTTTTATATATATATTTTATTATTTTTTGTGTGTGTACCGTCAAATCGGATCTAACTGATACAGGAGATTACACCTTCTTCTCCAGCACAGCATCTGGTATATTCAAACCCCGTACCTCAGAGATTGCAGTGCAGCGTCTTGCCACTAGGCCAAGAGAACTCCCCAAACAACAGCTTCTTGTTTTTAAACTATGCAGTATTTCATCACTCTCTCATGAGCAAAGTTTAGTTTTCTTAATCAGATTAAGAAAAATGGGATTCCTATTCTTCTCAATGTTAGACATAGTTATGATCCACAATTAAATAAATGCCTTTATATAGTCAATAAAACACCAAAAAAGACATCCATTCAGTAAGCCAGGTAGGTATCTTCAAAATTTCTTGGAAAATATCCATATTTGTTGCCATTTTGAAAAAAAAGTGATCTAAAAGAATGCTGAAATTATTGAACAATATCACTAATAACATATGGAAGTAAAATCTTGCTGAATATTATCCAAAACAAGCTAGCACACTCCATCAGCAGAGAACTGCCAGCAATTCAAGCTGTATTTAGAAGAGGTCATGGCACCAGAAATATCATTGCTAATGTCAGACGGATATTCGCTGAGAGTTGAGAATAGCAGAAGGATGTCTAATTTAGCACAGAAAGTCACTAACCTGCTTCTAACACAGGGATAAAAGCACTATAGAACTGGGAAATGGATTCACATTACAACTAGAGCAGACATTTGTAAAGAGTGTTCCAAAGAGTTTATGATCCTCAAGAGGTGTTCTAAGATCTTCAAATTAGATCAACCCACATGCCCACATTCTGCTACATTCTGACCGTTTTCCAATATACTAGAAAGCTTCAAAATATTTTATTTAGATAAAATATTTACCTTCTATAAAACAGGCTATACACCACTAATCCAGATTAACCTTTTCTATTTTTGGAAGAGTAAAGAAATGCAATAGACCTATCTTAAGCTAGAGCAAAGGTTTACTGGCCTCTGATCTAATACACTGATGCTGTACTTTTCTTTTAAAAATATATAGTTTAAAAAAATGTAAATATGTCTATGTATTATACACACACATATACCTATGAAAGTTGTTATTATTGAGTACTGTCAAGTTGGAACTATAGCTGACACCCCAGTGGGTTTTCAGAGGCAGTTAATTGCATAAGAGGAGATTGTCCATCCTTCTCCCGCAGTGACTGGAGGTTTTGAACCACATACCTTCGAGAGTTCAGCACAGTATCATACTACAGAGCTCCTTAGGAAAGTAGTTATATAAAAAGTGTTTACATTTTCAGGTTTAATTTGATCTTCTTAAATTCTCCATCCCTTTTTCTCTTTATTTTGTTAAATAAAAGTTGTTATGTAAGACAAATTAATTCTGCCAACCTTTCTCTGACTTGACTCTTGCTGTGCCAGTCTGTCTTAGTGAAATTTGTGTTTCTTTTGCGATACTTTCTGGACTCTGAGGCACAGCTTTGATGAAGAAATCTGCGACCGTCATCAGAAATTCCACACTGGCACATACATAAAGTTTGTCAAGAACAGCATCGATTTGACTTCCATTTTTGTCTTGTTTATAGCTTATATTAATCATAGAATTGTTATCTTGATCATTCTTCTTATCAATCATCCTGAAAAAATACATAAGCCATTCATTTGGTTAAACTTCAGTTAAAATAATTAGAAAGATGAAAAATTTCCTACTTGATTATTTTTCTTTCATCTTTTAGTCCTTAATAGTAACAGAACAAAAGGTTAGTATTAACTAGATTAACCAACTTGGCAATCAAAATACAATCCCTAATGTCAATAACTCAAAATTTATATTATTAAGGAATTATATGATGTTTTATAAATTGTAATATTAGAAAATAAATCATAACAGCTGAAATGAATTTGAACAGTTAACAAAGCCAATCAATATTGTCCCACAAAATTTCTAAAACAACTTATTTATATTAAGAAATAAAATCTCCTTGTAGGACTTTACTTTCAGAATTCACTTTTATACACATTAAAGACAAAAGTGTTGAATGCAACTCCATTCAGTAAATGTTTTATAAGTGTCTACAATGACAGTTTCCACACCCAATCACATGTACTGGAAAGAAATGGCTTTTTATCTTCTTGCCTGGACAGCTACTCTGGATATAAAATCAGAAAAAATGGAAAGATAGTTAATCACAGCACTCTCTCCTCAGTTCCTATTCATCTTTCAGAAAAACAAAGGACTTGGAAGTATCCAGCATATATTTAGTAGAGCCTAAGTTTAAGCAGCAGTATATGGTTTTCTCTAAAAAAATTAAAGTCAAAACACGGTCTTATTATCAGGGAAAGGATTAAAAATATAATTAAGTTATTGAATTTAAATATTTCCCACTTTATAGTAAGCTGAAGTGAGCTAATCTTTCAAAAATAGATTAACAATATAATTATAAACTTGTTAGGAACTTGTTAGGAATCTCATTTCTGGCCAAATTTGAAAGAAATCCTGTAGACCTTATTTGCTTTCAATGATATGAACAGAATAAAAGACTCATAATTTCAATTTTTTTTTCCAAAATCTTACTGGAAGCAATTCATAAAAATATATTACCATGTGATTTAAATATCAAATCTCATATTCTTTTAATTCCAATTTTTAAGGAAGAATTTAATTTTATTATAAAACACTTATTTCATTTAAACCTCCATTACTGGCATACCTCTCACTAAAAAAGGACCAAAAGACAAATACAAGCCCAAGCCTCATTATGGCTGGCAGTAGCAATGTCAGGCAGAAATCAACCTTAAATAATAGCCAGCAAACACAAAGAAGACAAACCTGGATGTTGCTCTCTCAATGCCTTCCCTGAGGTCATCAAGAGTGCAGGTCTTTAGTTTAATGCTGACATTCATTGAACCATCTGTAAACATCTTTCCTGATGAGGACATATGATGTAGTCGGAGTTCACCAATCCGTAAGCTATCATTATGAAATGAAAGTATAGATTCCTGTACAATATGTTTTAAAGAAAATAGTGTTATATTTCAATATGTGTACTCACTTTAAACAGTAATTCAGAGATTAAAGACAAATCAAAAAAGAAGACTGAGAGCAGGACCAACGTACATATTATGGGCCAAACGGAATTTTACATACTTACTCTAAAAGGCCTAATACACAATCAAGTTCTGCATAAAATCCACTTCAGCAAGATCTAACTGCATATATATCTACGGTCTTAATCACCTCATACTACTTTGGGATTACATCCAAATATTGCCAGAATTACTATATTTTTATATTAAAAATATTGTAGGGCACCTGGAAGTGCTTCAATTTAAATACACAGAAAACTATACTATATATTAACTCTATTCTAAAACAAATATTTCACTAGCAACCATTAATTATGAACTACACCTAATTGTTCCAATTTACATATAAACACAATTTAAAGATGGATTTATGAATGGAAGTCATTCATAATCTGGAGACTATATAGTATGGTATTCACACAATGTCTAATTTGATATTATATATCATGGATATTAAGTTACACATAGCTCCATATAGGAATTTTTTAACAAAAGAGTAAAAAAAACCTGACAATTTTTAAAAAATCTATGTCAGGGGCTCAATGATAAGAAGCTGTGCTTCAATCCCAGAGGCATATGGTTCAAATCCACCAGCTGTTTCATGGGAGAAAGATGAGCAATCTCTTCCTGTGCGATTAACCACCTCTAAAAACCTGCTAAAGAGTCAACTATAAGTCAGTTGTGACTCAACAGTTCATAGCAACATCTTGTTACACATATCTTATCATGGAGGATCTGAATGTAACCTGACTTTTTCACGACTTTAACATGGTCTAATGGATAGGAAAGGATGTCTTTGGTTAATACCCCATTTAACTGTCTTGACCAAATTACATATTTAAATGAACAAAAATATACTATTCTCTAACCAACGTATAGGAAGTTGAAAAGGAAAGTATCTTGGTCCACCATAGGTAAATAAATTTTGCATATTAATTCCAAAATAAACATTCTTTAAAAATTCAAACATTGACAATGCTACAAAATTAATATCTCCAGAACAAGAATTAAGTATTTACTGTAATGACAGAAATTCACTGCATACCTGGTTGATATCATTATTATAAAGGATAATGGAAAGGGAATCAAAGTGAAAGTCAAATTGGAGAGTGGTGCTCTGGTCCACAGAAATCTTCAACTTTGTCATATCTTCTTGTTCTGATGATTAAAATGTGAATGTTAAAATTAAAAGGCTTTTAAGTAAGTGTAATTAGATAAATACCTAAAAGTTGAGAAAAATAATTTTCTTCTAAACTTGTATAATCAGAACTAGAGATGAGTTGGACTACAACTGACCATAATAAGATTACTTTTTAAATTTTTTTATTATTAATTTCAATGAAAATTTACAGAGACTTTGGATTTCCATTCATTCACTGTTGCACTTTTCACACACCCCCTACCACCGCCTCCAGCACACTCTTCTCTTTGAAAAGTAAAAGAAAAATTCTTTCATTGTTTTACAATCTCTCCCCCCAGGTCCACTCCACTATACAGCCTTGGTTCTGGACTCCTGTTATGACAAAAATAACTAATCACATATCCCTTTTAAACAGTTTATTGTGGCTTTGTTCACAATAGCATGGAGTTGGAAACAACCTAACTGCCCATCAACAAATAGATGGATAAAGAAGCTGTGGTATATTCACACAATGGAATATATTCAGAAACAAGGAACTCATGCAATATTATTCAAAATGGGTGACCGTGGAGGACATTATGCTGAGTGAAATATCTCAGTCACAAAAGGACAAATACTGCATGGTGCCACTGTTGTAGAATGGGACTGACATCGGGGTTGGGGGGAGACTGAGAAAAATGGGTTCAATAATGTATACTGCATTGAAACAGATGAGGGAGAAAACTAAAAGGGATATGTGACTAGGTATTTTTTTCATAATAAGATTATTAACCACATAAAGCCTGCCTGTTACACTTTATTCTTCCCTAACATAACAACAGGCTGCTAAGCTAGTATTTGCCTGATGTCTGCATAAATACAGCCTCAGAAGAAGTGCTGGCCTCACCAAGCTCAGGTAGCACAGCTAATTACTTGACATAAAAGTTTATTCTGAACATTGTTCTAGTCATATGTTTATGTGATTTAAAAGTACTAGGCCTAACTACAGAAATGTTGGCAAGATATTACTATGTAAGTTTATCAACTGTTATCAGAATGTTAGAACATTAAAAGACACAACAGCCTGGTATCATTTATTATAAGGGCAAAGAATTCCATTTAGCCATAACATTATTGCAACAAGACATATAACATCACTAACATTAAGTAATTATATATTTATAAAGGTGGATTGTTTTTAAAAGTTTAGGGCTTTTGAAGATTCAAATTTCACAATGTAGATAATTCCCTTATGTAGCCAACTACACTGTGGCTGGCTTTTTTCTCTCAAAGTATATCACGTTAGTCCCTAGTGAGGTGAACTTTACATTTACAAGTAATGGGCAAACAAACATCGTGCAGACAAGTGCTCTTCCTCCTGAAGAAGATACTCGCCACACCACCTTTCCACCTTTCCCTGAGAGGTGCAATATGCAAGCTAGGCCAAGCTCCAGAAGGTTCTCCACAGTAAAACAGCAGAATAACAAATCAGTTCCCACAGTATCATGTTAGATAACTATGAAAGACTAAATATAAATATTGATACTAATATTACTTTATAAATGAAGGAAAAGATCCAGCAATGTGTACCTTTGAGGAGGTCAGATGAACTTGGAATGTCCTCTTTTCTCACTCTTAGAGCTTCTTGGGTACACTGTGTAGGGCTTGGCTGTGAAGAAGCTTCTCCAAGATTTTCCACCAAAATTTTCATTAAAACACTTAAGTCATCCTGACTGAGAGCAATCTAGAAATCATCAATAATTTTAGTATTATGTGGTAAAAAGATGCATATTATATCCCAATATAGTCCCTCAGATTAACTGTTCATTTAGTAAAACAGAGCACTGGGACCATAAATACTAGAGTAGTATTTTATCAGGAGACAGTCTTTTAAATAGGAGACAGTCTCTGTGAATGAGCACACTGCTGCCTCAGTTACTCCGTCTCTCCCCACACTCGTTACTGGACCTGTGCCTCTCTCTACTTCCTCATCTACAGTCTACCTTTCTTCTTTCACATCCATTACAAATTCTTCTACATTATTTGCTCTCCCAATACAAAGCAACCCTGGTAGCATTATGTTGGGCTGCTAATCAAAAGGTCAGTGGTATGAATTCACAGGCACTCAACAGAAGATGATGAGCATTCCCTTCTTGTAAACGTGGACAGACTTGAAAACACAATGGTAAATCTATATGAGTTGGAATTAACTCAACAACAGTAAGTAAACTCAGTATAAGAGGAGTACAGTTCAGTTTCTAGTTTCCACCAAAAAACAAAAAGATGTTCTCTTGCTGTCTCTTTTTTTTCTCAATACAAACACAATTGGTAAACAAAAAACTTTTGTTTCACCTATAAAGAAAAACAATTCTTTTAAAATAGGTTAATATAAAGTCAGATTTTTCAAAATAAAGATCATGCCTCAAAGTATACCTGAAAATAAAAAAAGAAAATAAATGGACAACAAAACTTGGGGGAAAAAGAAAGAACAACAATTCTTAGAATAAAAACTGTCTAAAACAGATATTTGGAGGGTTTTTGGATTCTTTTTTTTACCCTTTCTCTAATTTTAATGGTTTGCATACAATCATTCATATAAACTGTGTTTAATATATGTACAATCTTTCCTTTGCATTGTTTCATTCATACGCATTGTACTTTATTCAGTCATTCATACACAGTGCATTTTATATGTGAGCCATGCCTAATATTACCTCATTTTTCAAATTCTACAGTTCCATTAGTCTAAGATCAGAATAACATTTGCTGTTACTAATAATTTTTGCATTGCTGTAGAGAGGTAACTCATGGTTGCTGTGATGTTAACCACTGTGACAATGATGTGCCAAAGAACGTGTCTTTTTGGTCTAGGTATAGATTTCATGTAAGCATAATTAAGTAGTGTTCTAGAATTCCCATTCTTCTCAATGTTAGCCATAGTTTGTCATAATCCTCACAGTCAAATGCCTTGGGATAGTCAATAAAACACATATAGACATTTTTCTTGTATTCTAGCTATTAAAATTCATTAAATCTGTTCTTCTTTAAGCCTTTTTAAACCTTTATCTTTTATATGGTTTTCCCCCTATTTCATCCAAGTTTCACAAGCATATGAAGCAATGGAGAATAAATACGACAGTTTTGGAAATGCACACCTTAGTCATCACACTGGAATCCTTGTTAAAGCGCTTTAAAGAGGTCCCTGACAACAGATTTGCCAAAAGCAACAGATCTTTCAATTTCTTGACTGCTGTTTCCATGGGTTTTTATTATGGACCCAAGTCAAATGAAATCCTTGAGAAATTCAATCCTTCCTTCATCTATCATATTGCTGCTGTCTATTAGTATAGTTGCGAGAATTTCGCTTTTTTATTTTGAAGCTTAATCCATATTGAAGGCTATAGTCTTTTATCTTCTTCTCTAAATGCATTAAATCTTCTTGACTTTCTGCAAACAAGGTTCTGTTATCTGCATAATGCAAATTGTGGATGGACATTTCTCTAACTCTGACATAATTCTTTTAACTTATCAAATTCAACTTATCAAATTATTTGATCAACATACAAATTAAATGTTGTTAGGCGCCATCGAGTCAAGTAGGACCCATAGTAACTCTATGAACAACAGATCTGAACCCCGGACAAAGTGAGTAGGTATGAAGAAAGAATACAGTATGAGATAACCCTTTCTTGATTTTAAGCCATGCAGCACCACTTTGTTCTGTTTAAATGACTTATTATTATTGAATACCACTGAGTCAGAACTGACTGACACCTGACCTTCCAGCAGGTTTTCAGGGCCGGTTAATACCATGGGAGGAGACTGGCCAGTTTTTCTCTCACAGAGCAGCCGGGGGATTTGACTTGCCTATCTTTGTACTGGCAGCACAATTCCTTATCATTAAGCCAACCAGATTTCCTCTTGGTTTATGCAGAAGTTCCTCATGAAAACAATGAAGTATTCTGGAGTTCTCATTCTCCTCAATATTATCCATAATTTATAATGATTCACATAATCAGATGCCTTTGCATGTCTACAACACACAAGTAAACAGTTTTCTGGTATTGTTTTCTTTCAAGATCAATTTGGCATTAGCAATAATATCCCTGGTTTCATGCCTCTTCTCAATTCAGCTTGAAATTCTGGCAGCACTCTGCCAAAGTACTGATAAATTTGCATTTTTTTTGTCATCTTCAGCAAGAATGTATTTGAATGTGTTAATACAGACCAGTGTTTGGTAACTGCCACACTATTTGGATCACCTTTAGTTGAGACAGGTACAAATATGGACCTTTTCCAGACAGTTGGCCAAGCAGCTGCTTTACAAACTTCTTGGCATAGACTAGTGAGATATCTAGGGCTGCATCTGTTTACTGAAACACCCTCAACTGATATTCCATCAATTCCTGCAGGGTATTTTTTTTGCATTGACTTCAGTGCAGTTTGGACTACTTCCTCCCATTCCACTGGTTCTTGATCATATACTATTGCCTGAAACACTTAAATGTTGATCAATTCTTTTTGGTTCAATGAACTTGAATATTTCTTGAAATCTGTTTTTGATACTTCTTGTATCATTACATATTATGCCACAGAATTCACCAGTATTACAAATCAAGGCTTGAAGGTTTTTCTTTTCTTTCTTCAGTTCTTTCAGCTTGGATAATGAATGCCTTTCCCTTTTTGTTTTCTAACTTGTTTTTAAAAATGTCATTAAAATACTTTGACTTCTTAAGCTACCATCTGAAATCTTTTCAGCTCTCTTAATTCAGCATTTCTTTTCTTTCAGCATTTTCTTACTGGTTTGTATACAATTATTCACATACATCGTGCTTCATTCATGTACATTGTGTTTTATATAAGTATCATATACATCATATTTTATATAACTAATATTGATGTGTGTCTAATATCATCCTGTCTTTGGAAATTCCCTCTGTATCTTTTCTACTTCTTCACCCACTAAACTCTGCTATCCTAGTGATTTTCTTCCCACCATTCCTCTTTCTCTGACATTCCTTTATCCCTTTCCACTTCCCCTTCTGAACATTTATACGTTATCTTTCTCAGTTATCCTATTTTTACAAAATAGGATAAAGTGGTCTTAGGCAGAATTTATCCTTATGAGACTGAGTTATTTAACTTGGCATAATGCTCTCTAGACTCTCCCATGCTATATAATTGTTGTTGTTGTTGTTGTTGATTGCCTTCAAGTTGAGCATGACTCATAGCAATCCTATGAACAAAAAGCCTGAAGCCCCTCTACAACTATTGATATTTATCAAAATTCATAGAGTTTCTGGAGGCATGTTGTTTAAGAAGTGGATGCCACTCCTGCTTCCAAACTTGTCATAATGTTATTGTTGTTATGTACTGTTGAGTCGCCTATGATGTATAGCGACCTTATGAACATAGTATTCTATTATGTGGCTGTCCCACAATTTCTTGTTCCATTCATTTGTTGATGGACATTTGGATTGTTTCCATTTTCTTGCCCTATTTTGAGTAATGGTACTATAAACATAGATATGCATATTTCCATTCATGTCTCAGTTCTGATTTCCTTGGAGTATATCTGATTTCCTAGCAGTGGGATAGCCTGGTCACATGTGCCATCTATGTTCTGCTTTTTTGAGGAAACATCAAACTTCCTTCCAGAGTGGTTGTACCGTTACACAATCCCAGCAACATCGTAAGAGAGCCAATCTCTGCATTCTCTCCAACACTTATTGTTTGCTGTGTTGTTAAACTTCGCTACTACTGCTGAAGTGAGATGGTACTTCACCGTTGTTTCTTATAAAGTTCTGTACACTTTAGTTATGAGGTCTTTGTCTGAAATGTCATTGCCAAATGTTTCTTCCAGTCTGTGAGCTTTCTTTTCATCCTGTTGAGTAAAGTTTTTGAACAAATTATTTTCTTTTTGTTGTGATTTATCTATAGTAAAAAGCAAGGTTCAGAGTCCTGGCCTCTATTTTGGTCTTTTTTTCTTGCCTGTTGTGTCAGTGACATTTTGGGTTTTTTTCACATGTGTTGGCCCTGATAGGTCATTTCACAACTTGTCTTAAGTCATTAGGATTCTATGTATCAATTCTATCCTTCCTTTTTTGTTTTTTTAATTCAAGTAGGATGAACTCAAGATGTATTTTGACTTTTGTGGACTTGTTTTCATTTCCTTAAGCTTCAGTGTGAACTTGCCTATGAGTCACGAATGGTCTGTTCCAAAGTCAGCTCCTAGCCTTATTTTAATTTCTGATTTGGGTCTTTACCATTATTTCTTTCCACATATGTAGTCAATTAGATTCCTAAGTATCCCACCAGGTGATATTCTCCCTCCTCTAAAGAAAGAATAATCAACACTCTTGGAACCAGCAGTCAGGAAACCAAAAGACAATTGCATTAGGGAAGTCTGCTCTCAGGGACCTTTCCAGAATACTGAAGAGCCACAATTTCAGCCTGAGACTAAGGTGCACCTAATCCAGGCCACAGTCTTCACAATTACTTGCTATGTGTCAGAAAGCTGGACAATGACTAGGGTTGATAGAAAGAGAACCAATGCCTTTGAGCTGTGGTGCTGGAGAAGAGTACTGAATATACTATGGACTGCCAGGAGAACAAACAGGTTCATCCTAGAGAGGGTGAAACCAGGCTTTGTCAGACATACTAAGTTGTTAGAAGGAGGCATCAGTCTTTGGAGATAGACATGCTTAGGAGGGTAGAAGGACGGCACAACAGAGGAAGACCCTCGATGAGATGGGACGATTCAGCGATTCGAGTAATGGAGGTAGGTGTGTCAAGACTATAAGGCTGTCACAGGATAGAGCAGGGTTCAGGACTGTTGTACATAGGGTTGCAAGGAGTCATAAGCAACTCGACGGCACATAAAACAATTATATGCAGGGAAATTGCCTGTTTACCAGCCTACATAAAAATGGGGTGCTATTTTAATATGAGATAGTGACCAAGGATTTCTTGGTTTCCCCAAATAAGCTCTGCAATCACTTCATGGAGCACCATTCCCACTTGTGATACCAACCAAAATATCACAGCTCCGTGAAGAGCAGCAAGCTTCACTCACTCTTCTGGCTTGCCAGGCACGAATAAAAACATGTCATATACTTAGATTGATTTCTTTAGCTCTTGAATGCCACCGAGTCCAAACAGACTCAGAGGGAACCCTCCAGCAGGTTGTCAGAAGCAGTTAATAGCACATGAGCAGATTGCCCATTCTTCTCCTGAAGAACAGCTGGTGGTTTTGAACCGTGTGCCTTTGGGATTGAAGTGCAAGTGCTTACCTCAAGGATACTAGAGCTCCCTAGACTAAATTTTAGTAAGTCCACAAGGACAATTTTGAAAGGTAATCCAATAATTCTATGGAAACTATCAAACTTATATTTAAAAACCCCACAATATTTGTGTCACCAGTCTGAGTCTTGGATGTACTTCAGGCTAAGTGTACAGCCTATGACCAAAGAAGGGGTGTGTTTGAACATTGTATTGTGTGTCATGCTTGCAAAGGGGCCATGCTAATCTTCTCTATATCATTCCAATTTTTAGTATACATACTGCTGAAGTGAGCATAAATATTTTATTCCAATGTGACTGGAAGTTTACAGAGGAAACTGTTATTTCCATCCGATATGAGTGGAAGTTTACAGAGGAAATTGTCTTTCCATTTAACAAGTCACACGCATTATGCTTCATGACATTGATTATAATCTCCCTATTACAAGAACACTCTTCCCACTTCCTCTTCTGCTTCCCATTTCCATATTTCCTTCTTTCTTATCCCTTCCAGCCCTCTGAGCTTTATCCTGGACAACCATTGCCCTTATGATACTGTATGGTTGGTTGTTCTAAGCTGTGTTTTCCATCCTGAAGGTAAAAATTATCTTGTTCATGCTGTTTTGCTGCTGGTGGTATACCTTCACGTCGGAACTGGCCCACAGCTGACCCTCCAATGGATTTTCAGAAACAGCAAATCACAGAGGAGACTGTTGATCCTTCTCTTGCAGAGCAGCTGGTGGATTCGAACCACACCTCCTTGGGATGGCAGAGCAGCTTTTTACCACTAGGCCACCAGAGCTCCCTTATAAATCATCTTTCAGACCTGTTTATTTTTTGTCTGAATATTGAGTCACAGGGATGATTTCAGTTCCAAGTTTGATCGGGAAGTCTTACAGATCTACCAGTCTTATTAGATCAGCAAGTCTGGTCTTTTACATCATTTTTTCTTACTGCATTTTTCTCCCATTCTATCAAAGATCTTCTAGTGGTATCCCTGTCAGAAAAGTTAGTAGTGGTAGCTTGGCAACATCCAATACTTCTGATCTCCAGTCATATTCTTTTTTATTGTTATTATTAGTATAATTGTGATTTTAATGAAAGTTTAGAGAAAAGTTGGGTTTTCATTCATTTTTGCACGTTTTACTCTCTCCTCCTTTGTTCTCAATTTCACTCTGTAATGCACCTCTTGTTCCAGATTAATTTTCATATATGTAATGCCTAATCATACATTCCTTACAAACAGTCCCTCTCCTCATCTATTCCAATGCAATGTTCATTATCTAGCTATATCTTTCAGTTCTCTCCAATCCCATGCCAATCCTATTATATAACAGTGGTGTTATGCAATTTTTGGTCTTTTTTTTACAAATATTTTAATCAGCATAATGTCTCCAGATTCATCCATGTTGTGCAATGTTTAAAAAATTCCTTATTTTAAAAAAATCCTTATTTTTCAGTGCTGTGTTCCACTGTGTGCATATACCACAATTTTTCTATCCGTTAGCTTGCTGAAGAGCAACTGGGTTGCTTCTATCTCTCCACTATTGGGAATAACACAGCAATAAACATGGATATGCAGACATCCATTTCAGGCATGGTTCTGGTTTCCTAGGGTGTACTCCCAGTAGTGGGATAGCTGAGAAAAATAGAATTTCTATTTCCAGCCTTGAGAAAACAACAGACTGGCTTAAGAACAAAACAACAACAGCAGCAGAGAGAGAGATCAGTTGGCCTAGTGGACAGAAAGTGAAGCTCCATAGGGCTTTTAAAGTTATAACCATCAGATGCAAATTGCAAATTTATCTTCTGAGATATCCCTGGGTGAGTCTGAATTGGTAATCTTTCAACCAGAAGTCAGAGGCTTGACTGTTTGCACCATCTTGAGACTACTGCCTTCAAATTTTTCATGTTGTTGTTGTTATGTGCCGTCAAGTCGCTTGCGACTCATAATGACCTTATGTACAACAGCACTAAACTCTGTTCTGTCCTATGCCAATCGCTTTGTCTCCGATACACCCATCCCGATTATCCTAGTCACTGAATCAATCCACCTCACAGAGGGTCTTCCCCTCCTGCACTGTCCCTCCACCCTATCAAGCATGATGTCCCTCTCCAAGGACTGGTCCCTCCTTACAACATGTCCAAAATATGTTAGACGGAGCCTCGAATCCTTGCCTCCAGGGAGCCACCCAGTTTAACCCTTTCCAGGATGAATTTGTTTGTTTTCCTAGGAGTCCATGGTACCCTCAGTACTCTCCAGCCCACAACTCAAAGGCATCAATTCTCCTTCTATCCTCCTTAGTGACTGTCCAACTCTCTGATGCATAACAAGTGATAGCAAAGATCATGGCCTGTATCAGACGTACCTTAGTCTCCACTGAGACACCATTGCTGTTCAGTAACTTTGGAGAGGTCCCTAACAGCAGACTTTCCCATAGCAATACATCTTTTAATTGCCTGGCTACTGGTGCCAAGAGTGTTGACTGTGCAGCCAAGCAAACTAAAGCTATGAACAATCTCAATCTCTTCACCATCCATCCTGATGCTGCCAATTGGTCCAGTGGTGAGAATCTTTGTCTTCTTGACATTGAGCCTCAATCCATATTGGAGGCTGCAGTCCTTGACCCTCTGTAGCAAGCGCTTCAGGTCCTCCTCAGTTTCAGCGAGCAGGGTTGTGTCATCTGCATAACTCAGATTGTTGATAGATCTTCCACCAACCTTGAGCCCACATTTCTCCTCATAGAGCCCAGCCTCCCGGATAATCTGTTCTGCATACAGGTTGAAAAGGTATGAAGACAGGACACATCCCTGGCATACACCCTTCCCAATTTTGAACCATGCAGTGTTTCCTTGCTCTGTTCTGACGACTGCCTCCTGGTCCAAGAAAAGGTTTCGCATTAGCATGATCAAGTGTTCTGGGATTCCCATATTTCTGAGTCAGCCACAGTCTGTTATGATCCACACTGTCAAATCCCTTTGCATAATCAATGAAACACAGATATACATTCCTCTGGTATTCCCTGCTTTCAGCTAAGATCCATCTAACATTAGCTACACTATCCCTAGTACCACAACCCTTTCTAAACCCAGCCTGGACTTCTGTCAGTTCTCTGCTGATGTGCTGTTCCAGTAATTTTTGCATAATCTTCAGTAGAATCTTGCTTGCATGTGAAATCAATGAGATTGTTGTATTGTTTCCACACTCTGTTGGGTCACCCTTCTTTGGGATGGGAACAAATATAGATCTCTTCCAGTCAGTTGGCCAAGTGGTTGTTCTCCAGATTTCTTGGCACAACTTGGTGAGCACATCCAGGGCAGCATCTGTTAGCCGAAATATGTCAATTGGTATACCATCTATTCCTGGGGCCTTATTTTTTTGCTATTTCCTTCAAAGCAGCCTGAACTTCTTCTTTCATCATCATAGGCTCTTGCTCATATGTTGTTTCATGAGATTCTTCTGTGACTGCCAATTCCTTTGATACAGTGACTCAGCACAGAATTTTCAAAAAATGAAGAATAGTATTCTCAGTAAACTTCAGGAAGCTTTATGTCAGTTATTTAAGTTTCATAATGTTATCTGACTAAAATGAAATAAGAAAAATGTACAGGAAGCTAGGATGGCCTTAGTTCTAGTTAATAAAATATTCCTAATAAATTATAATTTCTGATGTACTATTAGGACTGTACTATTAATAATAAAAACCTATACAGCTGGTTTTATATATATTATACATATACTCACCTGCATAGGTTTTAATTTTCCATTAATCTCCATTCCTGGAATTTGGACATACCATGTTGCTGCTAAATTTCGCTGTATGGATAAAAGCATGTTGACCGGCTTTAAAATTTCAATGTCAGATTGTACCAAGTCAGCCTGCAAAATAGTTCTGAAAGAGAAACAAGAATTTAGTGTGTGTGTGTGTGTGTGTGTGTGTGTGTGTGTAAACTCATAGTTAAAAGTGAGGACTATAATATCATGCATTATTTTGCATTTAGCATTTTCAAACACAGAGGGCTATAAATCATATAAATCAAGTTTATATGCAGAGCTACTATATAATTCTGATTTCAAAGACACAAATTTCATGAAGTGTAACTACTGTATTATGTATTATCTTTTAGAAAAGCTGTTCATGAATGGATATTGTTGTTGTTAGGTGCTACTGAGTAGACTCTAACAAGTTCAAATCCTACCCAATCCTGTGGCATACTCACAAAATTTAAGAAAATTAAAAAGTGATGTTAACTTACTCTATGGCATATTTTGGTCTATAAACATACGGGGCAAAAACTCACCAAACCTCAAGGTTAAATGTGTGTGTAGGGCTATAGTCATTTCTGGCTGCTGTCAACAACTACTTGTACAACCAAATAGTGTAAATACTCTCATGCCATTCAAGAGAGCCAGTAATTTTGTATTTGGATTCTACTCATTTAGATACTTCATAGAGAATGTCCAAGTGTAAAAGTTTAGAAATGATAACTACATCTTCTATTTCATATTTTAGTAAATTTTAGTCCAATAGTTATAAAACAAACTAAATGTTACTGAGCAAATTATAATTGTATTGCAGAGAATTTTTATGAAATTGGGGGAAAGTCTCATTATGAATTTTAATAAGACAAAATATAAATTTTACGAGACACAATAAGTCACTGGCTAAAAGTCAACACTCTAAAGTCTCATAATCACAAGAAATAAAAGCTGCAAATCACAAGAAGTTTGCCTCTGACAAAAATTCTAAGAAGATTATATTGCAACTTAAGCAGTATACATCTGGATTGTATATTATACCTGGATAGCTTCAACTGAGTGAGCTGTATGTTCATTTTATCAATGACTGGGGGAAGAGAAGACTTTTCCATAGGAATTAAGCTAAATTTGTTCTCAATCTTGATTAAACCCAAATCTGCTATAACAGCATTAGGAGACACTGAAGACTGTGGAATGATGATAACCGGGGCTTTCAAATTGATATCCATCAAAAGACGAAAACTCTTTTGAGCAAAATCTTTCATACTAGAAGCAGCTTTTTCTGCAGCCTGGACAGTGGCTGTGCTCAAAGCTTCTTTGGCAGCTTGGAAATTGTTCAGGAAGTTCTGTTAAAAAAAGACTGACAATTAGAGAGGTCTAGAACAGGGATTTCTTTTATAAAGGAAAATTAATTTTAAAGTATTTACTTTATATAACAGAGGTATTAAAAAAAGAGAGAGAGAGAGAGAGATGCTACTTAAAATGTCCATTGGAGAAGTACACTATGCTTGGAAAAGTGGAGGGACAGTGAAAAAAAAGACTCTCAACAAGATGGACTGATAAGTGACTGTAGCAATGGGCTCACATGGGTTCATAGGCAAGCTATTACGGAAGTGGATGCCACTCCTGCCTTCAAGCTTGTTTGAATTGGGGAGCTCCATCTAACACCGTCCACCATGGGTAACCATTATCGCATTTGATACATGTGTTGTTATAATAAATAAACTAGTAGAGAAAAAATAAAAAATAAAACAAAAAAAAATGTAGTTACCACTACAAAGAAAAATATTTTGTTTGGGTTTTATGACAAATATTTTAAAATCATTTTGATTAATAAATGTTGATCACTTTAAACTCAAGTTTCATTGAAAGAGATGAACTCCAAGAAAGGTTAAATTCTGTATCTCTATAGTTTAAAGCAGTAAAATTTTATCCTTTAAACAAAGATTCTGACACCTTATTTCTAAAGGGTTTTTTTTAGGTTGTAATGGATGGGCAAAGACAGCTAAGTCTCTGTGGTTCTTAAATTCTTAGTAAGAGTCCAACTTCTTCACGTATAGTAAAAATGCACTTCCTCTTAACTTCAATTAAAAATAAAAACAATCTTTTAATTAATAAAGATCACTTTTACAAGAAATATTCTTCATGTTGTTGCACTAAAAATAGAATGTAATTTCATTTCTCTACTCCTAAATACTTTGCAGAAAATAAAATATGATGTTTAGCTAGAGATTTCAAAATGTAAAAATTTTGATAAGCACAGGTGGCAGGCCCAGAAATAAGAGGCACATTCAGACTTAAACCTTTCACTTCTGACACATACCTGAAAATAAATAATTGAAAAATGGTTTTTCTTTCACCTTCTGGACAGTTTTAATGGAAGGCTGTAAATTACAGGATTAGTCTTTGAAATATTTGTTGAGTGCCCTAGTTACCCAAGATTAAGATTAATTCATCAAACAGATAATAGCACAATGCCCTAAATTTAAAAACTGGAGTAAGTCTTCAAATTTAAAATTTTGAAAAATTTTAAAAATATCAATTTAAACATACAAAACGACTATAAAATTGACTTGATCACCCATCATTACAATGCATTTCCTTAACAATGACAACTATTTAGCATTTGTGTTTATCACACAGCTCTAATAATAATAGTTTTCAATATCTATGTTCAGCTATGTAGGCAAATACATTTAATTCTCAAAAACATTTTAAAAAGCAAACTTACCAAAAGTGACATGAAGAATTTATGAACATAAACAATTTGAATACAGCCGACTTTGAGACTCAGTTTGCCATCTACTTTAGACATATCAACATAGGCATCCCCTTCTGTCATGTTTGGATAGAGAGTCATTTGAAATCTGAAGACTTCATCTCCCAATATAGAGACAGCCTGAAAGTATTAGATAAACAGGTTATTATATCAAAGGATCTGTAAAGCTATTAACATTGTACTGTAAACATAATTTCTTAATCTAAAGTCCTTGCTATATGAAGAAATAACATTTAAATACAACCTTGAAACAAAGAGAAAATATTTCACTAGGCAATAACTTGTTACCTGTAAAAACATGCTCTACAATGATAATCTCAATTACACAGTTGGCCAGGGGGGACTTTCATAAATCACTGTGCATTAGGAGCCCTTCTCTATATTCAATATAAAAACAGACTATTACTGTTTTCCTTTCCAGTCCCAATGAAGTGCTTACAACATGGCAAACAATAACTGTCTACTGAACAAATAAATAAAAGCATATCAAATCCACAGGAAAACCAAACACAATTCAGTAAGGAAACCTATTTTCAATCACCTTTTTATGAATAGACAGCATATCTGCATCAGTAACTATGATATCCTGAAGTCTGGCAAATATGTCAGTCTGCTTTGACGTCGTAGAAACAGAGGCATCCATTCCTAAGGGAAACATAATTTTTACAAACCTTCATCCAACCTAGTGGTATTTAAATACAATAATGTATTACCAAGACAATGAATACATTAAAGCTATCAACTTTGATATATAACAACAAAGATTATAATACTTTCAAGTGCCACAGATATACAAAAAATTGGGTCAATATTATGACAGAAAACACCAAACTTAAAAAAAAATGACATATATAGATATGCAAATATCCCAAGACGGTAAGTAGTCATACAGAAAGCATATAATATTTTCTGTTAAACAGTCATCTCTCATTTTTTTTATACCATGCAAATCAGTGCTCTAGTTTGTTGTTGTTGTTGTGTACTGTTGAGTCAGAACCAACTCATAGCTGACCCTCCAAAGGGTCTTCAAAGGCAACTTAATTGTGTGGGAGGAGACTGACTACTTTTCTCCTGCAGAACAGCTCGTGGATTCGAACTGCATGCTTTTGGGGTGGTGGTGCAGCTCCTTACCACTAAGCCACCAGACCTCCTGTAATTAAGCATCATTCCTCCAGTAACTAAGTATAAATGAATATACTTTTATCAGTAAGTACTCTTTTATTTCTATCTAAGATTTCTCTGTCATTTACTTAATATCTAAAGGCAAGAGTTCTAAAATTACTCCTCAGTTCAAAATGTCAGCAGTTGAGGCCCCGTAAGAGCACAGACTATCACCGTGTTACTACTGAGTACTGTCAAGTTGGAACCGACCCATAGCTGACCCTCCAGCAGGTTTTCAGAGGCAGTTAGTTAACTGCAGTGGTGAAGAATGCCCATCTTTCCCCCACAGAGCAGCTGATGGATTTGAACTGAGTACATCTGGGATTGCAGCACAGCTTCTTACCACTAGGCTTCCAAGGGCATATTAAAAAACAAACAAACAAACTCCAACCAGTTTGTAGTATATACTGGATGACACAATTTTTTAAAAACTTTCTTTAAACTAAGGACAAAGCACTTAAATAAACAGCTGTTGAGCCAGTTCCAACTTATAGTGACCTTTAATCTGGTTTCCAAAGCTATAAGTCTTTATAGTAAGACTTCCCATCTTTCTCCTGCAAAGCACCTTGCAGATTTGAACTGCTGACTTTTTGTTAGCAGCACAACACACAGCACCCACCCTACACCACCAGAGCTCATTTTCTAAATATTTGGAAACTTATTAAGTGGAAATATATTTCATCTTCACAAGAACCTCACAAATAATATTATCTTCCTTTCATGGAGAGAACTAAGACACAGAAAGGGGTATTAGTCTGCTCATAGTCAGTAACTAACTGTTAGAGTTAGTATTTGAGAAGACTGGTTTCAGAACTAATAGCTTGGTCTGAATTACTGTACTCTGCTGTCCCTTCTTATTTCAAGCTGATGAGGTCTAAATTTTTTTGTACAAACTTATTTCCTGATGTTACTTAGGCATAAAAGACAAGAAAACAAATAACATTTTCTTTACCCTGTGAGATACTACCAAGATATGCTATCCTCAGTTTTAATCTTATTCTAGAAACACAATTAGAACACTAAGAGATTGTTATATTTATTCTGATGTTTTTCACATACATAAGGAACTCACTCACATCTGCTTATGTGAATTATAAAACATTTACTTCTAACATTTCAATGCATATCTTTGAAAAGTTTGAAGGACTCGTCAATGTAAACAAAGAAATGAAACATGGGAGATTCACCACATTTTTGCTGATGCCCATGTAAACAAACAGAAGTAGTTACACCAGAGTATAATTACTTACCCTGTATTCTAATGTCTGCAATGTTACACTTCTGATCACAGACAAAAATATTAAATGCATTTAGTTCAGCTATGATCTTTAAATCAAACACATCACTTTGAGAAATACTGCTGGATACTGAAAAGTAATGGAAACGTTATGATTAGCAAAATGCAAAGATGACACATCAAATAATCTCAAAATTCACTAAAATACATTGTGTACTATAGTGAAGCAAGTAAGTCCCTACTAAAATAATATATAACTAAGAACTTTGGGTTAGTTTTTAAATTCCAATAAAATGAAAACTAGTTATTCCCCTTCCACATTAAGAATAAAGGTAACTATTTAAACAGGCTTTTGAAAGTACAGTTTGCTGGATGGAAATTTTACTACCATTTTTTTTATATATGAGAAAATACACTGATTAAACATTTTATTATTCACAAATTTTATTCTAAAATCCTATTCATATTAGATATATTAGCTAAAACAACCCATAAAATTGAAATAGTAATGAATAATTAATAATATATTACTAAGTAGGGCATTTACACTAATATAAATACTATCCTGCATTGTTAACATTGTGTGATGTTAGAACTTGAAAAAATGCCTTTTCTATCCATTGTCTTAGCCCTTCCATGGGGTTCAATTTACAGCTGGCTCGACTCTAGACACATCACTGTGGATCAGCATCTCCTACATCATCAATAGCTGTAGGGCCAACATAAGAGGAAGAGCTGGTCAGACTGTTCAGGGAAGGAGCCAGAATTGCTGACTTGGGATTGCTAAGAAACAACCCTTGCTGGACAACTGAGAAAACCAGAAGCTTCTTACATGGTATGCTGGACTAAATGTGAAGACTTTCTTCCCATCCCCAAAACCTGTTTTCCTAATAAAGCCCACAACTTTCACAAGGAATATCAGACCCAGTGATTAAAGGAAGTAGGTACAGCAGCATGGGGGATCATTTCTTATCAAGGGATCAATTTTATATACTGGATGTTATTGATGGGGACAGTTCCCCGCTGTGAAGATAGTGGGAGTCAGATTTGGCCTTACCCACATTGTATTTGCTTTTTTTACAATATATTAACATATTACTGATATGCTACTATAATACTTATATTAGGATCCCCGTGACACACTACCATACTATGACATTAACTAACATACTAACTATGATACACTAGATACTGTTAACCACAGAGCCAATTTCTTTAGATTCTATTACTGTTTCTCTGATTCTTTTTAAAAAAACTCCATGAGAAATATGAAAGGTTAGTTATAAAATTTTTCAAATATACCAAGAGAAATATTTTATTGTATGCATGTGTATCAAAGAATGACAAAGGAACTTGTTCCATTACATTGTTGTTCTTGTTGTTGTTGTTAAGTGCCATTGAGTCACCTGTGACTCATAGTGACCCCATCTACAACCGCTCTATCTGTGCCAATCTCATTGTCTCCAACACACCCACCCCCATTACTGCAGTCACTGAGTCATTCCATCTCATGCAGTGTCTTCCTCTCCTGTGCTGTTGCTCCATCCTCTCCAAGGACTGGTCCCTCCTTGCAATATGCCCAAAATATATCAGACAGAGCTTCAGAAACCTTGCCTCCAAGGAGAAGCCTGGTTTCATCCTCTCTAGGATGAAACTGTTCTCCTAGTAATCCACAGTATATTTAATACTCTCCTCGAGGACCTCAGCTCAAATGGGTCAATTCTCCTTCTATCATCCTTAGTCATGGTCAAGCTTTCTGATGCACAGCAAGTAACTGAGAAGACCATGGCCTGGATCAGGTGCACCTTAGTCTCCAGAAATAATTTTTATATAAAATTTAAATGGCCAATCGCTTCTCAGCCTTTTGGCTAAGATCAAGTGTAAAAATTAAATAGTCAAAACCAAATACGATTATTACTAAACAGTACTTCTTTAAATTGTCCACTAACTGGTACAATGAGGGTAGGTTTGTCAGAGATAGTGAGAATGGCTCAGGAGAGTGCAGGGTGTAGAGCTACTGTGCATAGCTATGGCTTGCAGCTGACTCAACAGCATGTAATAACAAGTTACTCTAAAAATATGTAGGAATAAAATTTGTCTACTTTCATCTATAGAGTACACAGAACTTGAAAGTTCCAAATATTTCTCTTAAAAGTTCATGTTACCATTCTAATTCCTAGCAGTGGAATTTCTGAGTCATATAGGATTTCTATACTTAGCTTTTTGAGAAAACATCAAACTGTCTTCCAGAGTGGTTGTACCATTTCATAATCCCACCAGCAGTATATGATAGTTCTCTCTGCATCCTTTATTGCTTGGTGTCCTATTAAACTTTGCTACTGCTTCTGGAGTGAGATGGTATCTCATTGCTGGTTTGATTTGCATATCTAATTGACAGTGACACTAACAGAGATATGCACACCCATGTTCACAGCAGCATTATTCACAATAGCAAGAAAATGAAAGCATCCTAAATACCTATGAACAAATGAATGAACTGAGAAATTGTGTTACATTCATACAGTGGAATACTACACAACATTAAGGAACAAGTTCATAAATTACTATACAATAGGAGAGAGTCTACAAAGCATTACGCTGAGTGAACTCAGTCTCATAAGGACAAATACTGTGTAAGACTAGCATTGTAAAAATAGAAGGAAAGTTGAGCGAGATGTGTATAAATGTTCAAAAGAGAAAGGGGAAAAGGTGAAGGGGGTAGAAAAAGGGGAAAGGTGGAATCACTAAGATAGCAGAAGTTAGTAGACAGATGAGGGAGGTGAAAGAACATGAAAGGTTGAAGTGGACTTGAACAGAGTAATAATAGGCATAAATCAACAGTAATTATATATAAAATACAGTGAATATGTATGATTGGGTAAAACACAATGTACATGAATGAAATACCTAGTAAATCAAAGACTGTATGAAACACAATGTACATGCAAGACATTCAATGTATATGAATGATTGAATGCAAACCATGAAAAATATTAGAGGGGAAATAAAAAGTAAAAGTTATTACACAATTATTAAAGTTCAGACAGATATAGATTTAAAAGTCAATACCAGTTTTCAGAGCTAGACTTCTGGAGTCTCCCACAAGTGGTTTTAGCTCAGATTCCTTCTCAGAAGAAGTTTCAGAAGATGGAACAGCAGATGATAAAAAATCCATGAAGGAGAGTAAAGCTTCCAAATGAAGTACTAAGTCTAAGGATGAAAATGAAACCTAAGATAATGAACAATTAGAGAGGGAGATTTGAGGTATGATAGTAGTTTTATGTTAGGCTTTAACATACATTAGGAGTATGAGAAGACAATGTTTATTCTCAGACTACCACCTGACTTAGCAGGTCTTGGTGAATTTTCAGAGGGTTCTAAGACAGAATACACATGTGCAAATAGGCTAGTCTATAGTAAGCCATTCTTTCACCAGGTCCTTAATTTTATTCGAATAATTCAAATATGTAATGCTTTCATCAGCACAAAGCCAAATAATCACTATGAACTAAAGTAATTTTTTTAAAAATTTTAAATTTGAATGTTTAAAAATCTGTCTACATTCTCAATAAGTAGTCACCAATTCCACTGTGGAAACAAGTAATATTTCAGGATTCAAATGAAATTTTTGTAAAAATTTATTTAAACACTTCATCTGTTTCGAATGCTGTTGTTGTTGTATGGTCCATCAAGTCATCTGCTACTCATAGGGACCCCTTTGTACAATAAACCTTCCCCTATCTTGAGCCAATCTCACTGTCTCCATCACACCCACCTCCACTACCCTGGTTACTGTGTCAATCCATTTCTTCCATGGTCTTCCTCTCCTGTGCTGTCCCTCCACCCTTCCAAGAACGATGTCCTGTACAAGGACTGGCCCCACTTGGAAACATGCCTAATGCATGTGAGACAGAACTTCAAAATCTTGCCTCCAAGGAGCAGCTTGGTTTCATCTATCTACTACTAAATTTTGGTCCCTGGTGACTTAGTGGGAACTGCATTGCCAAAGCAAACGATCCAAATCCACCATTTGCTCTGGGAAAGATGAACAGACTCTTCCTGTGGATTTTACTGCCTCTGAAAATCTGCTGAAGGTCAGCTATGAATCAGTTCTAATTTGATAGTACATAAAAACAACTACAAAATTGGATCTATAATTCTTCTCATCTGTATTCTAATTTTAGAACTCACATTACTACAATTGGAAATGGGTCTCAAGATAGATTTATCCATTAATAAACTCAGCTTTAAAATGAATTACAAAATATTACCTTGAGTCTCTGTTTGGTATTGTCATGAACAGTTTTAAATTCTGGTCCATCACTATCTGCCTACGAACAGTAGAAGATTATATAAATAGGTTGAATATGCTAATCCTCACATATTAAAAAGCATAGTCTTTATTTTTTAAAGTAATTATAAAAATAGACATATACTTCTTAAAGGTAAAAGAACAAGTTAAAGAAAGTGACCTTACATACGCATTTCTAATATCCTGTTATAAGCAAAGATGAAAATTCTTTATCCTATTGTTGAGAAAATTGTAAAAGGTAGGCAAAATGCTAGTATACCTAGAATATAATAAATCTGGGTTTAGATTACAACTGAATGTCGTATTATCCCCATTTCAACAGCAAGAGGTAACTCAGAGGGTGAATGTAAAGTACCCAAAGAAAGTCAGATGTTTGCATAACTCATTATCATAAAATAATTTCCTAAATTTAAAGATTAGAGGGGAAACTGAAATACTAAATATGAGGGGAACAACATACATAAAAGGAGACTTGGGAGTACAGTGCTGAAGACCTAAAATGCTACCTGCCCTTCTGTAGGAAAAGAAGTGAGTCTTTCATGCAGATTAGAGGCTTGGAAACTCCACAGCGAAGTTTTACTCTACCCTGCAGGATCAGCAAAGCTTAGAACTGAATTAACAGCAATGAGAAAAGACATACATATGTTATCTCCTAGTACTGAAACAAGGTACCTTTGTCAGTGACATTTTTAGAAGAGGTTCATCAGTTATATTAGAAGAGTTAATAATATGTAGAGGCTCTCCTTTAGAATCTAAAAGAAAAAAAGAGAAAGTTGATCCATCAAGTGTTTCAAAAAGCTTTTAATACTTGTAAGCCAGTTAAACAAATGAATGTATGTATCTAAGCTCAAAGAATTGTACATTTAAAAAAATAAATTATATTACATACCAATCATACATTAGTAATCGTTTGGGGGAAACCATAATAATTGTTTGGGGCAAGAGGCTGCAGAAAAACAAAGCACTTACAAGAATCAAAACTGTAGATTTTGGTACTAGGGAGTCTGGTAACTTAGTGGTAAAGAGTTGCACTGCCAACTTCAAGGAACACAGTTAAAATCCACTAACAACCTTGCAGGAGAAAGATGGACAACCTCTACCCTTCTTAAGTGATTTACTGCCTCTTAAAATCTTCTGGAGTGTCAGCTATCAGTCAGTTCTGAGTTGATGGCACACAACAACAACTTTTGGTCCTATTGGTATGATCTGGACAAATTGTATAAAAGAATAAACCTATGAAATGCATAAATTGGGAATTATTTTCGACAAATTTCCATTACTCAAAGATACACACTCTAAACATCTATAGGAATATTAAGCTGTATGACAGAACTTGGAAAATGAATTTAAAAGATCAAGGATACCCACTAAACAATGATTTAATATTCATTTTTTAGAAAAAGGAATGAAATCATAAGTATATGTTACCCTTTTCTCTGTACTTTATATACTTCTGCATTTTATAAGCATATGTTCATTAATTAAAAATGTGCAGTTTAAAAATTAACAAAATGTAATAATTAGTATAACTCCAACTTTTAAAAAAGGATTCCTAGGTTCAGTACCTGAGTGCTATACCTGAGCTTTGATTTCTTTTTTTTTTTTTTTACATTTTATCACTTTTTGTGTGTGTGCCCTCAAATCAGATTGACTGGTACAGGAAGAGATTGCCCCTCCTTCTCCAGCAGAGCATCTGGTGGATTTGAACCACGTACCTCTAGAATTGCTAGCTTTGGTTTCTTAATACATTAGTTCTTACATGAAAGCTAAAAGGAATGTTCCCTAAGTCCTGAAGTGCCATTGTTCACAGATAACTGATGACATATTCTAAATATTTTAGATATATTTTACTTCATGCTAAGTGTAGCTATTTTATATAAAAAACCAACCAACTTTATAAACTTTCACTGTGATTACAATAAAAAAATATGTAGTTATTTTGGACATAGTCTTATTTTATATGAAATAATCATAAAGGACCATAATGTTTGAAAACATATTCCATTGTATCAGTGAACCTAATTTAATAAAACTAAATAATTATGGTGATACTAAAACATATGCTTCATGTTTGCCTATTGCATGAGTGTACTTTTTTAATGTATACTTACCAGTAAAATCAAAGCATCGCATAGTAATTTTTTTCAGATAAGCTTTAGCAGTCATGTCATAGCTTTTAACTTTAGCTTCCATTCCAAGCTGTAACACATTTAGTTCATGTAAAGGCTTTCCTTTCTTTTCTGCTTCTTTCATCAATGTAACCATGACCTAAAGAAGTAGCAGTATTACCACACACTTTACTAATTCCCAGTATTCTACTAGTACATGTGATCATTTATCAGTATTTTAACTATCAATCTATAGGATAAAAATAATCACATCATGTAAAGATATTTATGTACTTCACTTGTGTTGGCAAATATTGTCTGTTACAGAAATACACATTTATTAGTTCAGATTTTGTAGTCGGGGATCTCTCCACATTATGAGGAGTAATGATGTCAGTTTGAGGTCTAAGGTGCACCTGATTCAGGTCATGGTCTTTTCAGTCACGTACTATGCATCTGAGAGCTGAGAAATGACTGAGGATGACAGAGAAGACTTGATGCTGTTGAAATATGGTTTTGGGAAAAAGTGCTGAAGATCCCATGAATAGCCAAAAAATCAGTCTCAGAGAAGGTGCAGCCAGAGTGCTCCTTGGAGGCAAGGATGGTGAGATTTCCTCTCACATACTTTGGATAAGTTGCTAGGAGAGGTTATTCCTTGGAGAGAGGAACATCATGCTTGGGAAGGTAAAGGAGGAGACCTTGAACTAGGTGGATTGGCAGTAAATGCAGAATGGGCTTGCATATGTCAGAGATTGTAAGGATGGCTAGGGATAGGACTGTGTTCAGACTGACTGTTTACAGAGTCGCTATGAGTCGTACTCTCCTTGACAGCACCTAACAACTACTAAAACAACTTTTAAAACATCTCATGGTTTTAAAAGGTAAAGTTTGGAGGGGGAGTATGGGTACTAGGCCTAACTCCCAATACTATTTCATGTTCAATGAATGGCCTTCTATCTGAGGGTCTGTAAGATCAGCAGCCAATTTTATTATCGCTTCTGAAGCAAGGCTTCTCAACTGTGGTTCTACTGACCCTTTGGAGTACATTATTATTTGTTCAGTGAACTGTCCCACAGTATAGGATGTTACTTCTACCAGCTAGCTGCCAAGCACCCCACCATCACTACTCAAGTGATAAAATTATAAAAATGTGGTAAAAAAAGTGATAGTGATAAAAATGTTTCCAGATATGCCAAATAATCCTCAAGGGAAGAAAATTATTTCCCTTTTTACTCTACAAAACTCCTAATCACTGTTCTAAGGGAAGGAAACTTAGAGCATGTTACAGATGATCTTTCAAAGGAGTTATGGGTTATTTTTGTATAAATCTTAATGAAGACTATTTATTAATAGAATCTTTTAATGATCCAAACCTATAAAAATTACAGTACCTGATATTAGTAAAACAATAAATGTTTAATAAGAAATAAATTAGTATTAAAGCATATAGTCCAGATGTTTTTAAGTAGAATCAATTTGTTTAAATGCTTGAACTGAAAGATCATAACCTCTACCCAACTATTTAATGAGGAAGGAATTTTCAAGGAAGTTCTAGAAAGGGCCTGCAAACACTGTTTTCTTACCTAGTTTCACACATTACCTAGTTTCACACATTAGTTCATCCATTCCTCTTTTTGTCCTGTCCCAGTTCCTCTCCTGATACCCCTTTTCACTAATTATATCTGAATCTTTTAAAAGCTAAACTTGAACTCCATTTCCTCCAGAAAATCTTCCTTAGTCCTCTCAGGTTCCTTAGATAATTCCTTCCTTCTAACACCATCATTCCCTATAAAACACCTAGGAACATTCTAATAAGCATACTTGCAAAAACAGTAATTGTTTCCGTGTTTGAGTTCAGTCTGTACCTTTTCTTTCTATATGCTTTGCACATAATACATACAATGAATATGTGTTAAATGAGTAAGAGAAAATAATTAACCCTTCCTCAAGAATTTTCACATGGAAAATAAATACTGGTAATACAAATTTTAAAAACAAAAATGTGTGTGTTTCTATTTTCTTAAGGCGTTCTTAAAATTTTCAAAGGATTTTCTCTTTTGGTCACATAATCAACTTAAGTAAAACTTTTTCTCTTTATCAATAATTCACAAATCTATTTAAATAGACGTGAATGATTTCCCAGTATCTATTATTTATGCAGCTCATATTACAAAAACCACAAACCTCTTTGATTTCAAAATTCAATAGCAGAGTAATGATGTCTACAGGTCTAATTTCCTCCATGTCAACTGTTAGAGCATCTTGTGTAGCATGTATACTTTGCTGCGATGTAGAAATTTCAAGATCTTTCATTTCACCTAAAGATGTTTAAAAGAGATTCATTCAATGCTATTTACACATTCACGGAGGACTTAAGATGAAAATTCACAAACCAGGAAGAACTACTTCCAGTCCCTAGACAACTAGTAATTATGTCAAAGAAAATACATGTTTAAAATGTAGACAAACAAAATGAGTAGACAGCATTTGTGACAGCAAATGAATACATTTAACAGACATAGTAACTAAATAAAATTTAACTAAAAAATTACCATTTTTCACTTAGCAGTAGGGAAAAGGACAATCTTATACATGCTGCATTGGAAAATGTTTAGAAAACAAGTGGGTGAGTATAAAATGTATATAAGTTCTTTAGAGAGTATAAGACAAAATCTGTCAAATTTTTTACTGTAAATATTATTTATTTACTACAGTCTTTCTCTTATCACAGTTGAGTCAGAATTTAATTATAGCCATCCATTACAAAGAATACAGCAGACATACTATATGCATAGTATACTATATACATAGGCTAATTATCAAGATACATTGCTAATTTTAAAAAGTCAAAGCAAAATGTTTAACTATGTATGTTGTTGTTGATTTCCTCAACTCGAGCACGACTCATTATGACCCTATGAACAAAAGGCCTGAAGCCTTTAACTACTGTCATTTCTCCAAGTTCATAGAGTTTCCAGAGGCATGTGGTTTATTTAGGAAGTGGATGCCACCATTGCTTCCAAACCTGTCTTAAACTGGGAACTCCACCATTATGCACCTTGGCGTTATTGCATTGGACCCCTCAATGGCACAAGGTTTGAATCACAGAAAACCCAGATTACCTCAGTACAACAAACTGACAGAAGAGTGCTATACAACTTAGAAGAATGTTCCTCCAAAATAAAATAACACTAGCCCCTCATGTCCAACTCACTTTTAAATACAAAGTCTTTCCATATATATACATAGATATGTTCGTGTGTGCGTGTGTGTGTGTGTGTGTGTCTGTGTGTGTGTGTCTGTGTGTGTGTGTATGGACAAAAGACCTGAAGCCTTTCTATAACTATCGTCATTTCTCTAAGTCCATAGAGTTTCCAGTGGCATGTGGCTTAGAAAGTGGATGCCACTCATGCTTCCAAACCTGAATCAATCTGGGAGCACTACCAAACACTGCCCATGATGGGTAGCCATTATGGTGTTTGACCTATATATGCACACCTATGTGTGTGTGGATTTTTATATATACAGAGAGAGAGTGAGAGATAAGATTCCAAAAGGCAGCTCAGAATGACAAAGCGAAATACTACAATGAAATGTGCGAGGAGCTAGAGTCAGAAAATCAAAAGCGCCGAACTCGCTCAGCATTTCTTAAGCTCAAGGAACTGAAGAACAAATTCAAACCTAGAGTTGCTATAATCAAGGATGCTTTGGTCT